CTTTGCTTAATTTTAACTCAGAAAGGCTGATGGAGACAAATGTCTTATTGAAATCCTTCAACGCCCAATTCCTCTTTGAGGGGCAGTGCCAAAGAGCTGCCAATGCTGCTGTTTTATCACACAGGCATTCAAAAAGCTCAGAAATGGTATTGTGGCGGGAGAAAGTAGAGGGTCAGTGGTGCTTTCAGGTGCTCCCAGGACAGACTAAGCTCTCGTCTTTTGCCACTTACTCAGAGAAGGGAATGGTTCCTTTTTTGTTAAGAGTTAAAGTGTAGTACTTACACTGACCCGCGGATAAGTTGGCTCAGGTTTTTTGAACCAATTCTCCAAAATTTCTAGACTTACATATACAATTCTTTGTATCAGTACACCACTTTTTACCATGTAATTATAAACTGAACATGTTGACTCTAGTAGTAAATAGCTTTTGTTTTAAGTTAAAGGTCTTGATCAGATAGGAATCTGCTGCTGTAAAGGTTTAGGTCTAGTTCTCAGAAATGCACTACTGAACCAAGAGCCATCCTATATCCCAGGGGTAGGCAACCTGCAGCCCGGGTGCGGCCCCATGAGGCCTTTGAACCGGCCCAGGCTGGTCCTGACTCCCCCGCCATGATGATATTGATTATTGTTGTTATTATTTGTTCTTGGGGTTTTCTTGGCAAAATCTCCACAGGGGTTTTGCCATCATGGCTTTTCTGGGGCTGAGAGAGTGTGCATGCATATTTTTAAATTTTATTTTATTTTATTTTTATTATTTTTATTATTTTATTATTTTGCTTCGGCCCGCCAATTGTCTGAGGGACAGCAACCCAGCCCCCAGCTCAAAAAGGTTGCCTACCCCTGCTATATCCCATAGTCCACTGGTCTGTAAAAGAAGCCATTTGACCCAGCTTTCTACATATCATGCTATGCATATGAAATAAATGCATCCCCCACCCATATATCTAAAAGGTGAACTTTATAGAAAACTTAAACATGGGCAATTTGCATGGTAAATTTCTACCCAGATTGATTCATCTCAATTAACTGGGATTTACTGACAGTCATTTAAGTTTCTAAGAAGCCCTTAAGGAACATTAAAACTACAGCATATAGAAAAAGAATAGGGTTTTGCAGGGGAATTTCTTGGAAATTAGTACTGGAGAATATTAATATGGCTCCACATCTTTCCCAAGGAAAGTATCTTGTCTAGGTTCTCTTTCTTGTATATGTAAGTTACTTACTCTGTAATATTCCTTACCTAGCAGTGCAACCCCCCCTTCCCATTCATACCCGTATATTACCCCCAATGTAATAAGTTTAGAAAACTTTAAAAAATGATTAGAACTCATTATCCACAAAATAAAAATATTCACACTAATTTGTACTAAGGGGTATCTTGAGTATGTATGTATGCTAGGCTTCCAAATCAGAAGTAAGCCAAATGCTGCTACTCCCCCTTCCCCACTGCAACATGGCTTCAGTGTGTTCACATAATCTTTGTTTGGATATAAGGGAAAGTTTACAGCAGTTACTGTGTAGATTCAGGTTCTGCAGTTTTAATTTCCAGTTTTAAATAGACAGCCTCCAATAAAGTACATCCTGTGGGTTAATAAAGGAAATTATCCCACCACTGAAATAACCCAGTTTACCTTTTCTTGAATTGAAGCGTAATTCAGGAGGCAACCGGGTCCTATCACAAGGATTTTGCCAGGTAAGTCCAGCCTGGGTCCCCAGCACGCTTTGGCGGTCGTGTTTTGAAGTCGGAAACTCCCAGTTTCGAAATAAGGCTGCTGAAGCGTGCTGGGAACCCAGACTGCAGCTGGGCTGGACTCTCCCAGCGGCTTTGGTGGCAAAATCTTTGTAATAGGACCCGGCTGCCTCCTGAATTAGGCGTCAATTCAGAAGAGATAAAATGGGTTATTTCAGCTGTGGTATAATCTCCAAAGATAGTTCTGCTGTCCAAAAGGGTGAAACATTCTGAAATAGCAAAACTCTTCCTAATGGATGCTTTGCAGAGTAATTTCTCCCTTGCATTATCAGTATATATTCTGCATACTGCCAGGTTTGCCAGAATCCATCTCTGTATAGGTGCAGTGTCAGTACTATAGTATGTATCAGCCAACATTTACACAATAGAACACAGCTCTAATATCATTCACGTTCCTAAACGAACAATTCTGGAAATTTTATTTATTTAAATATCCAGGATTCAAGTTCCTCTCTTTTGGTTCGAACTGTTTACAATCAGTCGCTGCCTCTTTGCGTGATCCGCAGAAACAGATGTCAGAAAACCTCACTAGGAAGTAAGTTCAGGACATTGAGATTTTTTAAAAAATTCTACTAGCTTTAGCCAGTTGCAGAGGGTGAAAAAGGAGTGCAATGCAGATCATTTTAGACAGTGTGCATTCGCCTTCAAAGATTTTGGTAAGATTATTTTTTAAAAAAATGAAGCAGCATATATAAAGCAGAAAGCTGATGAAAACTGAAAAATAGGCCAAAAAAATCTATTTGGGTCATTTTTTTTCCTTTTAACTAGGCAATTACTTTTATTTGCTTTCACACATACCCAAAATTTATAGAGATTCTTGAAGGTTTATACTGATATTGCACTTTTTCCATAAATAATGTGAGGTGTCAGACTACAACTCCTCTTAGCTGTAGCCAGCATGCTCAATGATGAAGGCTGATGGGAGTTACAGTCCAACAACTTTTGGAAGGCTGGTTACCCAATCTTATTTAGATTATAAAATGCAGATAGCATGCTCCATATGATTCCTCTGGAGAGTTAAAGCAATTCAGAGCATGTGTTTAAATTACAAACTGCACAAGTCTCTTGGCAAAGCAGAAAATGTTTAGGAAGTCAGTTGGAGAGCAAATCAGTGACTGTAAACAAGCAGAGACTGCAGTGGCCTGTATGTTAGACATACCTGTCAATATGCCTGACAAACCAATAAGAGCCATGTGCTGTGCACCACTGGGTTGCTAGGAAAAGTCAAGGAGTGGCCTTGAGAAAGTGTAAAATGTATGCTCTCAGTTTGCGCTAGGTCCCCTGCTGAGAGCAGTGAGAGCTGCTGGTTAGCTACCTTCCAAATAAATATTTCCAGTTTGCAAAAATCGAACATTTTAGGCATACCACACTTCCTCCTAATTCAGTATGTCAGAGCAAGGAACTTCACAAGTCTTGGCAAATATACAGTGTGTACTTTTTCAGGGAGCAGTCACCTAGGAGCCTAGTGTTTACAGTTAAAACTAATTGTCAATGCATTCATTTCCAGGCTCTCAACCTGTAAGAGCACGTACAAGTGTTCTTTTTTTAAAAACAGCTCCATCTATAATTAGATGTTGCAGTGTTTCAGAAATGGAGCGAGCGGTGGAAACTGCTATCCACATCCAATAGAAATTCTACGAGGGACTTGCAGAATATTGCTGTATCAAATGCTTGTGGCATAGGTTGCAGACACGCTCCGGATTGATGCTGGAGGGAAGGGGAAGTTCATTGGTGGAACAATCTTCACAGAAGACTCCACTGCAGTTCCTGCAGATATTCTGAATTGGGGTGATAGAAGAACAACCAAAGGCATCTTAATTCATCTCCACACAAAACTTATTCTTTGTACCAGATAAAGGGAAATATTTCCCTCCTAGTGCTTCAGCCATAGTTTCTCCTTATTTTCCCCCTACCAGTCTAAGAAACTCATATGTCTAGAAAGCAGAACTAGAGCTGCACACCTCCACAACAGTGCCAAGGCAGAGGGGGAATCCCAAAATGTTTCAAATCTTGGATTTGCTCATTCAGGGTAACAGCCTGTCCTGCTTTTAGGCTTAGATTGGGTAACAACTGCTTCTTGGGTTCAAAGCACACTACAGAAATAATCCAGTTTGGAGACCTCTTTAACTGCCCTGGCTCAGTGCTAGGGAATCCTGGAAATTGTAGTTTATTGTGGCACCAGAGCTCTCTGACAGAGAAGGCTAGATGTCTCACAAAACTAATTCCCAGGATTCCCTAGCACTGAGTCGGCAATTAAAGTGGTCTCAAACTGGATTATTTCTGCAGTGTGTTTTGGACCTCAGTCTTCCATACAGAGCTCCTGTAGAGCAGATCATGAGAGTCAAGCAACAGCGGAAAAGTGGGAAAGAAAATGGAGGTAGTTCTATTTTTTCCACCTCTAAAATACAATGTACAAACAGGCCCTTTGGCTGCAAAGTATAGAATAGAAGTAGACAGCAAAGTGAGCTGAGCTACTTCTTGATTCATATTTACCTTTCTTTTGCTCCGAGTGCTTTCTTCTTGACATAGCTGGCAGGGTTCTGACTTTCCAGGGCCAAGACTTTGCTCCTAGACCATTAAAACCACATTCTCATTTAATCACATCATTAAGACTGCGAAGTCTTCTGACCAACTTTCTGATTTCAATTATTGTTAACCGCCTTCGAGTCAACTTCAACTCACAGCAACCTCATGAACGAGACACCTCCAATTCCCTCTATCCTCAACTGCTCTGATCAGGTCTTGTGTGGGCTACTTGTTCGAGTCTATTCAACTGGTGTGTGGTCTACCTCTTTCTACTGCCTTCCACCTTTCCTAGCATTATTGTCTTTTCAAATGAGTCATGCCTTCTTATGATGTGGCCAAAGTACAACAGCCTCAGTTTTGCCTTCATATTGCCTTCCAGGTAGACAATTTGCTAAACCCTTTCCACACAGGAGTTTGATGAGCTGATCAGGTTCCAAATTCAGCACTTGTGCTTCCCCTTTTGAACTATGCTTAGAAATTCCAAACAGAACTCAAAATAAATTAGAAACATTCAGTATTTAGAGAGTGCTTTGAAACAGCCAAAGCACTTTGCTCACATCAATGCAGGGCTGGGATTGTTATTGTGTGCCTTGAAGTTGTTTCCGACATGGCGACCCTAAGGTAAACCTATCACAGTGTCTTCTTGGCAAGATTTGTTCCTTGACATTGCCTTCCCCTGAGGCTGAGAGCATGTGATTTGCCTAAGGTCATCCAGTGGGTTTCATGGCGGAGTTGGGAATCAAACCCTAGTCTCCAGAGTTGTAATCTAACACTCAAACCACTATGCCACACTGGTCTCAATGGACCCTCCAAATGTTTTGGGACTCTGCACTCATCAACCCACATGAGCTTGGCTAATAGCAAAACATTAAGGTAGTAGAAATGCATTAACATCTGTATCCTCCAGACCAATAGTTGCAATACTTGCAAAGAATTCTGTAAGGTGTTTGTATTATTATTTCTTACATTAGACATAAAATAGGAGGAAATAGGGAAAGCAGGTCTAATCCCCAAATCACTCTCAGTCAAGACTCATTTGGGCAGCCTCACTCTCTAGAACAGAGATCTGAGTTTGAATCAAGCAAAAGGAAACTGTAACAGGGCCTTTGAATAGCTGTAAGCTCTTTAAAATTGCCAAAACAGCTACTGAAATACTGATAAATCACTTCTCTCAAAGCAAATTAAAGTGCTTAATTGGGACATGATTAAGAAATGAAAGAAGAAAGAAGTGTCTGTAGTAATGGGAAGGCTCAAGGAAGTTCATACTAACTTTTGAGCAACTTATATGAACCTGATCTACAAGATAGTCTGGGTAAAGCCCTGTCACTAAAGATTAAAGTGCCATTTGAATTTTGGTGGACTTTAAAATTCTAATCAAGAATTTTTTTTGGATGGTCACACCATTATTCAATATCAAAAGTATACTTAAAAGTGTTGATTATCAGTTAAGGGTTCATAACAAATGGTAAACACATTTTGTGTTGAGATATATACATAACACATTAACTGGAAGATAACTATATTATGGTTGTAAACATTGGCTTAAAGTATGGAAAAAGTAAAAAAGAAAAAACCCCAGGACTCCTTCAATACAGTAAATGAACTGTATTTGTGCCTAAGTCTAACTTTTTAGAAAGGTTTTGTAAGAATGGTGGTTTGACTTTCTGAGTGTAAGTGATGGGACAACTTAATTACAGATGATATAATTTTACAAAGATTTTACAACATTTAGGAATATCAGCTTCATTACCAGCAGAAGCACCTTGCCCTTGCTTACTTTCATGCTACTCATCTCTTAACAAAGGAAGATAAGAAATGTATCTGAAACTTTCATAAAACTGCTCATTTAATACATTAATACATCACATTACATTTAATACATTAAACTAAATTACTTACATGCTCTTCTTGCAGCCCATGAGGTACCCTGAAAAAAAATAAAGATATTAACGTAGCATGACATTTCACCAGATTATATTAACCAATGCAAATCGGGTCCAAAACACACTGCAGAAATAATCCAGTTTGAGACTGCTTTAACTGCCCTGGCTCAGTGCTAGGGAATCCTGGGAATAGTAGTTTATTGTGGCCCCACAGCTCTCTGATAGAGGCTAAATGTCTCACAAAACTACAGTTCCCAGAATTCCTTAGCATTGAGCCAGGGCATTTAAACTGGTCTCAAACTGGATTACTTCTACAGTGTGTTTTGGACCTTGGCTATGAAATATATTCATAACATAACAGTAGTATGTTTTCAGACCAATTTATTGTACCCACATGCCTCAAGCATATATAGGGTTTTTGACTGCTCATGTCCTACAATCAACCTTTCATCAAAGGGCACATCTATCAAGTTGTACGTAAGAACCTCATAGTTCATACTTGCCCCAGTAGGTGATAAACTCCCTCAAATTCCAAATAAGTATTCAGCACATACCAGATTTAAGTTAACAAGGAAGATCACTTTCCCCCATGTCAAATAGCTTAAGAACCACTGATCTGGAGCTCTTTCCATAGCTGGAATACATGGTAAAAATAGCACAGAAATATGGCATCCTTAGATGTGTCTAAACAGCTTCACAAGAAAGTCTCACATCAAACGTGAGAGGTGATTTCCTGTGAATGCAGATGCAACCATCATTCAAGAAGTCATCTGGTTATAAAATGGTTCCCTAAAATGATTTGTAGCATGTCTTCAAGTCCCTTCGGATTAATGATGACCCTAAGGCAACTCTACTGTGGTTTTCTTTTTTTAAAAAAAAATATTGATTAAAAAAGAAAACAAACTCCACTTAATATACAGGATACATACTCACGAAATACTTATATAATACATACAAAAACCAAAAAGAAAAGAAAACAAAACAAAAAAAGAAGGAAATTCAACAATTAAAACATCCTTCCTCGTCCTTTATGTATTGTTATTTTCTATAACATAAACGTCTTCAGTTATTTCTCTTCTATACACCTCATCATACAGATATTGACCATTTCAATTTCTCCATGGACATATATCCTATCTTAAACAATATTTCCTTCTTTATTGAATATAATCATTATACTATTTCTTTATCCTCTCATTTATAATCTAAACCATCTTTATCAGACTCTATCTCACACCTTTCTAATTGACTACAAACATTAGACCATGTTCATTTTGCCAGTATTCCAATAAGGGATTCCATGTCTCCTCAAATTTATCTATATTTTGATTTTTCAATAAAGCCGTGAGCTTATCTGATGCTATATACTCCTATAATTTATAATACCAATCTTTTATAGTTGGGATTTCTTTATTTTTCTATCTCGAAGCATATATTATTCTTGCCGCACTTATTAAATAAAACAAGAAGATTGGCCATCTTCTATTATTCCCAATAAATACATTTTAGGGCTGATTGGAAAATCCATCTTTTAAGATTTTTGTCAGTTCGTAGTGGATATATCCCCAAAATTCCTTCGCGGCTATACACTTCCACCAAATATGGATGAAGGTACCAACTTCTTTTCCACATTTCCAACATAAATTTGAATAATTTTTCCTCATTTTTGCCAATTTGTAGGGGGTCAGATACTACCTAAATTGCATTTTAAATTTTTTTTCTTTAATGTCGTAATTCAATGTGTATTTAATTCTCTTATTCCAACATCTCTCCCACTGATTGAGCTCGATTTTTTTACCTATATCTTGGGCTCATTTGATCATATTATTTTTAACTATCTCCTGCTCCATGTCTATTTTTAAAATCATCTTATATAGTTTAGATATTTTATGATTATTTTTTAATGAAATTATATTTTCAAACTCTTTATTCATTATCCCTATCCTTTTTGTTTTTTTATCTATAATAAATCTCTCTCTCAATTGTCAGTAAGTGAACCAGTTACAGTTGTACCCCTCTATAATTAATTGTTCTCTTGATTTTATTTGAATATCCATTTCTCTCTACCTTGTGTGATGTCATTATAAGTTGCCCATTTATTTTTACCTATACTGTCATTTCGAGTGAACACTTCATTAGTGGATGTCCATAGAGGTATATTATCATCCCATTTTATTTAAATTTTTTGCCAAATTCTTAGTAATGAGCACCTCAAATAATGATCCTTAAAATCTTTATGTACTGTGATCATATTGTAGATCAGATACCCGTGCCATCCATAAATATTGTCGTGGCCTTCTAATTTTAAATTTCTCCCATCTTCCAATTTAATCCAATCGATTAACCAATTCAACCCACATGCATAATAATAACTCTTAAAATCAGGCAGCCCTAAACCTCCTCTGCCTATCTCATCTTGCATCACCTTCATTTTTACCCTAGTTTTTTTTATGTCCCCATATGAATTTTGTTATATCCTTATGCCATTTTTGAAACAGAGCGTCGTTTACAATTATTGGGATATTTTGAAATAAAAAAAGCAATTTCAGAAGAACATTCATTTTCACAGTAGAGATTTTCCCTAACCAAGATAAATTTAACTTTTTCCATCTATCTAAATCTAACCTTATTTCATTCCATACTTTCTCGTAATTATATCTGAACAAATTTGAAATTTTACTCGTAAAATTTTACTTGTGGTTTTCTTGACAAGCTTTTTCAAAGGGGATTTGCCACTGCTATTGTCTGAGACTGAGAGAGTGTGACTTGCCCAAGATCACCCAGTGGGTTTCCATGGCTGAGCCAGGACTATGAACCCTGGTCTCCAGAGTCATAGTCCAACACTCAAACCACTACAGCAAACTGGCTCTCTCCCTAAATAATAACCACTTACATTTTATAATTAATGGGAGATTAAAAAAAAATTAATTTTACTCAGCCCATACTTGTTTGGGTGAACCGTTTTCTCATCTTTTCTTGTTATTCTCCTTTCAGAATCTCCTTCCAATAATCTGTTTCCTGCAGCCTATCGAAATAGAAAGATATTCAGAAATTAATGAAGTGTGAGCCACCACAGTATTTTGTGCTTGTTTTACATATATAATGACCTAACTTCCCTCCTTTCTTACAGCACACATAGTTTCCTGTTAACAGTAAGAATCTCAAGAACATTTCAAAGCTTATGGCTGTCATAGAACTACCTACTAATTATGGAAGAACCGAAGATCAGGGGGGAAAAAATCACAATGAGATACTGATGGCTGGAATTACCAAGTGTATGCACTACCCTGTACAAGGACGTCCAAAAAAGCACAATGTTTCCTTTAAAGAGAAAAAGTATATATCTGAATCCTATTCATAATCCCAACCACAGTAAAGCTACTGAATCAATGGGATTTAAAAACGAATTCAACAGTTGTTTTATTTATTTATTTATATCCTGCCTTTTCTCCAGTATAGGACTCAAGATAGCTTACAGAAGTTAAAACAGGTACAGTTGGCCCTCCACATTTGTGGCTTTGACTTTTGCAGATTTGATTAATATGTTCTCTCAATGAATCGCTAGGTCCTCCAGACAAACTCTGCTGGAAGTTGACATAGAGTTGCACTGAAGGACCTAGAGATTCCTACAGAAAACACCTTTCTAGGCATTTGTAGGTCCTCCGGCATGATTATATGGTCAAATTCTGGAAGATATTGACCACAGAGTTCTGCTGGAGGACCTAGAGATTCCCAGAGAGATGTTATCTCAAACTAAAAAAGAATGTTGTTTTTTTAATTTGCAGTTTTCCCACTTTCATGGGGTTTCTGTGCCCCTAATCCCATTGAATGTGGAGGGCCTACTGTACAGATAAAAGTTTGTGTCATACAAAAGTTTAAAATATATTTAAATTATCAATACAATTGAAAGCAG